GTGAGAAAATTGTCTATATGCTTACGTTTGTGTGCTAATTCAAATGCTGAATTGCTGGTTCAGGCAACAAGTTCTCTGGCCTGTGCCAGGAAAGGCTGGGTCAATGTGGATGTTGACAAAGTTGAATGTGAGTCTTGTGCTGCAATTCTAAAGTTTGTCTCTTCCGCTACTTGGACTCCTGATGAAGGTAAACCGGGGAGAGTTTCATCTTTTTCGACATCTTGTTGTGATTTTATCCAGCGATTGCAAAAGCTGGTTAAGTTGTTACATGTTCCTTGTCTTGTACATATTGTTGTTGTCACCAGTTTAGATATTAGCTGTAAAAAATAGAGTTTGGTATGCTAGCTTTCGAATAGAAATAGCTCTACTATAGCTTTCTGGTTTCTCTTGTAGCTAATGCTGCCGGAGAAGAATTTGCCAAAAGACTTGATGAAGGACATAAAGTTACCTGCCCATGGATAGGAAACTGCTGTGCAGAAAGTCTGGTACAGTTCCCACCTACTCCGCCGTCAGCACTTATTGGTGGTTATAAGGATAGATGTGATGGACTGCTCCAATTTCCTTCTCTTCCTATTGTGTCTGCATCTGCAGTTGAGAAAATACGGGTTTCCAGGGGCCCAGAGATTGACCGCTTGCTGGCCCAATCTCACCTTGCACGTAGTGAATCTGGCATAAAGCTGGAAATTCTATTAGGAACTGAGAACTCCAAAGATGATGTCTTCTTCATATACACTCGAGTAATAACACGTTGTGGCAATATAAAAATTTATATTTGACTGTTTTGTATAATTTGACCCTAAGGGAAACTTCCACTGACTTGCAGGCTCAGAAGCTGATAAGCCTTTGTGGATGGGAACCTTTGTGGTTTCCAAATGTCCAAGATTGTGAAGAGCACTCTGCTCAATCAGCTAGGAATGGATGCTCGACTGGTCCTTCCAGATATCGGGGTCCTCCTCGTGATCCTAGTCGTGGCAAGAAAGCATTGTCCTCTTCCACAAAAAAGAATTATGCTATCAATGAAGCTGTAGGTACTTGCTCAAAAACTTTATCCAGGTCTCCACTGTTGGATTGTAGCTTATGTGGTGCAGCAGTGAGAATTTGGGACTTCCTGACTGTCCCACGCCCTTCTAGCTTTGTTCCTAATAGCACTGACGTCCCAGAAACTGGAAAGAAGTTGGTATTAACACGTGGAGTAAGTGCAGCGAGTGGTATCGGTGGGTGGGTTGCTGCAGATGGTATAGATAAGGACCATGCAGAGGACCAGGATGAAGCTGCAACTGGTGAAGGAAAATCATTGTCAAATATCGGGTTGGATTTGAACTTTAACACATCAGCTGGATTGTCTTCTTCACGGCTGCACATGAATTTAACATCTGAACAGTACCAAGATGTTGATAGAAGAAGAGATTTACTGACTGGGCAGCCTTCTGGCAGTGAGGTTGGTGATCGAGCAGCTTCATATGAATCACGTGGCCCCAGTTCCCGCAAGAGGATCCTAGATGAGGGTGGAAGCACTGTTGACACACCACAGTTACTGGTTCAACGAGCAGACAGTGTCGAAGGAACTGTCATCGACCGCGATGGTGATGAAGTGGATGATGGCGGGCAATACTCTGCTGGCCCTTCAAAACGTGCTCGTGACTCTGTTGTGGGTCCCATCCAGGTGCCACATGCTAAAGACTCCTCTGGTGCGGGTCCTAGCCAGTCATTTGGCTTTGACGTTGGTGTCGATCCTTGTAAAGATGATTTTGTCCAGGGTCCTGAACAAATAATTGGTAATCCATCAACCAGAGATTCAACACATGTATCCTCTGTTATTGCAATGGACACGATTAATCACAATGCGGATGATGATTCAATGGAGAGTGTTGAGAACTATCCTGGAGATTTTGATGACATACATTTGCCTTCTACATCGACAGTCAAGAACACGGACGCCAATGAGACATCAGAACAGAACTATAGTAACCAAGCACAACAAAGCACCTGCCCAGTGGCTGCGAGAAGTACAGGTGAAATAGGTGTAAGTAGTACCAATGAAGAAGTAGTGAATGGCGATACTGGTACTGCACATGGGAAGGACGGTTTCAGCTTTGGAATTAGTGGTGGAAGTGTTGGAATGGGTGCTAGCCATGAAGCTGAAATACATGGGATTGATGCTTCCGCTTACAGAGTAGACAGTGTTGGTGGTGACCTAGAACCTGTTGCTGAAGTAACTGACAACCAGGGTCAGACTGGTGAATTTGGTCCAGATCCAGGGTTAATGGGTGATTTTGTCCCTGAAGATATGGACAGAGAGGATCCTCAAGGTGATAGTCAAGAATTGATGTCCAATTCAATAGCAAGAGAAGATAGTGGCTCAAAAATTGTGGGTTCAACGAAGGCAGATTCTGTTGAAAGTGGAGGAAAGACGAGTAACTTGCTGGCCACCTCGTGTGACAACAGCCCCCATCCTTCACTTTCTTGCAATGCTATTTTGTGTTCTGGCTTTGAAGCATCCAAGGAAGTAGTAACTCAGGCTCCTGATCGGACTACCGATGACTGCGGATATGTTGAGTCAGGGTACAATGTTGCAAATGGATCAGGTAGAGTTGTGTTGCTTATGATGATTGTTTTGAATTGGCACTATCTGGGATTCAATCCAATGTTTGTGAGTTTTGGATCTAAGTTAAAAACCTTCACTATGGATTCCACTTTATTGGATTCATCTTGGTCTCTAATTTGCTGTGCAAATAATGAGCTTCTACTGGTCAGGAACTATAAAATTGGTGGAACCTTTTAAACTCCATGCGAGGGGTAGCTGTAATTGGCCATATGCTTACTTCCTTTATATAATTATATTTCTTTCCTCCTGTATTCTTCTATACATTTGTCAATTTATTTATTCATTGCTTTTGCATGTGGTGTTATTAGGGCCTCCAAGTGGCGGAAACAACTATGACGAAGTAATAGAATTTGATCCAATTAAGCACCATAATCACTTCTGTCCTTGGGTGAATGGAAATGTTGCTGCAGCTGGCTGTAGTAGCAGTGGCGGTGGCTCCAGTTCCAGTCCTGGTGCTCTCGCACTGTGTGGTTGGCAGCTGACATTAGATGCTTTAGACGCATTTCAATCACTAGGACAGGTTCCAGTCCAAACAGTGGAGTCTGAGTCTGCGGCTTCCTTGTATAAGGTCTGCCTGAATATTCGTACTTTTTTCAACTTTTTTAACTTCTATTTTTTAAATTTTATTTCAATATTTTCATTGTTGATATGATATTGTTATTTCTAGTTTCTTAGTTATGTTCTCTAAGAAAATCTGATGAATCAGTGTAGAATGAGTTTTCTTGCATAATAATGTTATAGGCAAGTGGTCGATTAATAAACGTCACAGGTAGTGATGCCCCCTGTGCATCCTTTCTGCCGGTATATGCCCAAAAGTTCATTGGACGCCCTTTCTTGTGTCCCTGGCTTCAGCTGNTCTGACTTGTTGTGATACTCTTATCTGTATCCATATTTCTTTCCCTAGTTGTCATCACCACAGTTGTTGTCCATTGCAAATGGAGCTGGAAGAGTCATTGTTGACAATTCTCCTGGCATAGTGCTAATAATGGACTAAATCAAAATGGGTCAATTAAATTCTAGTGCTTCTTCTATTAGTGAAGTTTCTAGAAAAAAAAAATTATATCAAACGGCGCAATGCACCTTGGGTCGCTACGGAAACAACCTCCTTGTATAATTACAAGGGTAAGGTCTGCGTACAACTGACCCCCCAGACCCCAACTTGTTGGGAATATACTGGGTATGTTGTTGTTGTTGTAGTTGTCATCACCACAGTTATCATATTATTGAGCAAATAACATTAATAACTAAGATGTATAGTATTATTTGTAGTACCATTGCTACCAACTTATTCCCCATTCCTCATATTTGAGGATGAGTATCCATAACTCCCGTTCCTTCTGTTGTCTCACTGGATTTATTGCCTTCTATTATATGTAGCTGCAGCTGTCTCTAGGAATTTGGTATTTTTTCAGTTATTTCTCATCCTTTTGAATTATGTTATTATTGTCTGCACAATTTTGAAGCTCTTAGTTTCACATGTACTTTGGTTGCAGGACGATCATCATGCTCCAAGCCGGAAGCTCTTGCCACGACACTCTTACAACAAACGTTGTGGGAAGAATTGAACTAAATCTATGTTAGAAATATGGTGTCCGGTAATTTTCTACTTCTGATGGATGATTACCTTCAATTGATTGACATATCTAGCCATTTATTTAATTGACGTATTTGTAAGGCATGTTAATAGATGTTTCAGCTCCATTTTTCATGTTGTATTTATGACTGTTAAATGGGCTTAAAATCATGTATGTGATTAACTTACATTTTGCCTTAGCCTGAATCTCAGTGTTGCCTTCCTAGAAGAATATGTAAGGGTTTGTGTAATATGCCCTCACTAATCAATCATTGTTGAATTGCATTTGTTGCAGTTATTGCTTTCTAAAGAAGTCACCGAAGATAAAATATAGCAGCTCCAGATTAAACCAACCGCATTGAAGTTATATGTGCTGATTTATCCTCTATTTGGAATAGATAAAATTCTGTTGGCTGTAATGTTCACCGAATATCCAAGAGTACCTGTGTTTATGTTTCAAAGTTTGTAGTTCCTTTGTAAACTTGTTGCAATAACACATCATGGACAAAGAGGGCCTGTGTAGTTTGTCCTAATAGTATCTTGCTGGAGGCTACTGTTTCAAGAATTCTGCAACTGCAACTGTAATTAATTCCGAGATTGCTTCTTTAACATTGTCATTAGAGCACTACCTGTCTTGCCATCTATTAGTTCTATTTCATGTGCAGCATTTGTTGGTATTTAGTCAGATAATGGTCCATTTCATGATTTTCATCTCATCTTATGAATAATTTTCGACGGAATTGACTAGGTTTATTGAGGGTATCAATTTCAATTTACTTACACATTATTCGGAAGAACTGTATAATGATAGTATGTCCATACAACATTTTCAATGCAATTGAAGATTGCATTGAATTTTTTTCTTATAACCTACTCTCCCATTCTTCATTTTATCCCTCAAGCTTTTCATTTTCCATCCATCCCATCCATTCATATATCATTAACTAGCTTTAATTCACGATTGAAAATTGAAAAAGTGCCACCACATATTCTCCCAACTAGATTATTAATCCATCAAGACTGTGACAGTAAAACACAGTGGTGAACAAGCAGTGTCTTGTCTTGATTATGGATACACCAAACCCAACTCTACAATTATTGGCAAGTGTACAAAACAGTAGAGAAATTAGAAGTACACGTGGCTGTCCGTGGTAATACAAAAAAAGAACGTCTAATTAGGCCTGGAAAGTTGCAACCTCAATCCCCTTGTTGGTGTAGGCCACTGGGGCTTCGTATTTGCTGAATAGCCTATAAGACGAGATGAGTGAAAGCCCGGCATAGCAAAGAGTCACGACAAATGTGATGGCTATTGAGGCCGTGGCCTTGCGACAAAAACCCCCAAACGAGCCGCAAGTTTGGCTCCATGTTATGGAGGTGTCGCCTTTGTATGCAAGGTACAGGACCTCAGTTGATATGGCCCCAGCTGCTAGTATAACATAAGTGAGAAGCTGTATCATCACATGACCC